GATCCATTTAGATATACGTTATAAAATAATGATCCAAAATCAGATTGATTTAAAGTTGAAATTTTATTTGAAAATACAATTTAACTTTCATAAATTATATATTTTTTCCATAAAAGTTGTGAATATTATCAAAATTTTCTCCTATTTAATCTTTATCAAATGAGCACATAATTTATAAATAAAATATCAAAAAATATTAAGGTGTCGTATCGATATTTAATGTCCTTTTTTAGCTATTTTGTAACCCTATCTATAATCTTTCCTATCAGGCTATCACATACTGAACAATAATACATTTTAAAACTCGTGAAATTACATATAGGTAATTAATATGATATTTCAAATGTATTTTTGTATCTTATTCATTATTTTAATTATATTGCATGAAGCTCATAACTATGATAAACTAGGAAAGTTATATACATAGGGTTGAAGATAAAAGTTTATGGTATGAGTTCGATCAGGGTTGAAGATAAAAGTTATGGTATGAGTTCGATCAGTCGAATCAAATAATATAATTTTGATTTAAATTTTATATTTATCTTAAGAGATTTATTTAATTAACATGTATAACTTATTGATTTAGAACTCAAATATTTAAATGGATTTTTAAAATTTTAAATTTATAAGCTTCAAATTTTGACTATATCTCTATACATACATAGGTGACAAATCTATAATATTAGGTGCAGATACACATGAACCAAATAGTTTTTACGTACTACATAATTCATCAAATATTCATGTTCGAAACGAAATGAGTTTCATGAATTCAATAACAAATTCAGATTCGTAAACTTCAAATCTTGACTCCAACTTCTTTTGTCTTCACGTCAATCAACAAAGTGGAAAGATTTTGTGTCCATTTCACGAGTTCATAAATAATCTAAAATGTAAAGATAATAATTCTCCAAGTGTTTGACATTTAAGTTATTTCTTCAATCTCAGCAATTTCATTCCTCCACATAATATTTTTAGATTCCTTTTTTCTTTCTTTTAGATCAGAAAAAAAAAAGAGTCTCCTTTTTAAATTTTAAAAAATAATTATAAAATCGATTGGTTCTGAATATTATTTCATTGACATACATCCCATTATCAGGTTAACAAATGGTTCAAAGTGATCAAATTTTGTTTGGATTTTAGATTTTTATGAATATATGTACATGAATTTTCCACTAATTTAATTTATTAGTGGAAAATATGCATTTACGTAAGTGAATATTCATCTATTGCTGTCCTATTTTGGGTTTCATTTGACAGGGACTAACAGAAAACAATCGTATGTGAAAAAGAAATGCATATATTCTAAAATATACAATATATTAATGATAAAAAAATACATGAGTATTTTTGAGTCATACTAACTATCAACGGTTCCTTTTTTTAAATTTAACACGCCTAATTCACACTCAAAAAGTTAGCTCAAATGGAGGAGGATTGTCCAAGCCTTATAAGGATTCCGCTCATCTCATTAATCACTGACTTTTGTCATTCTTTAACACCCCACTTCACGCTGTCATTCCTCTCGTTAGACCGTCTGTAGCACTCATAGCTACAAGCCTAACTCGATTATTTCCTAATAATTGATGTACCTCACAAGCCACATTAGTTGGTTGATCAACACTATCTCGACCTTGAACTACCTTATAAATATTTGACATCTTGCCAAGGGAAAGGCTACATCTAGTACCAGACCGATGATTTGGACGGCACACCCCAGATTTTTTATAAATATTTGGCATCTTGCCGGGGGAAAGGCTACATCTAGTACCGGATCGATGATTTGGACGATACGCTTCGAATTTTTTTTTTCAAGCGTGGAAACCTCAGAACCAGAAGTAGTGGGATTGATTTTCACAATAATAAAATAACACCGTGTCAAATTAGGTCTTATACCTAACTCACACCCCAAAAGCTACCTCAAAGGAAATTTGATTGCCCAAACCTTATAAGGAGTCCACCCATCACATTAATCATCGATATGGACTTTTGTCATTCTTTTAACAAATGCAAACACTTAAAAATACCCTTTATCCACCTTTTGATTAAATGTACCTTTCTATTCATCTTTTACCTTAAAACTAATGTCTCTTTTTTTTTAAAAAAAAAATATTTATCATGTGTTATTTTTTTATTAGATGAAATAAAAATTTTACCTCAAAACTAAACTTTTTCTCATGATTTATTCAAAGTAAAAATAATATACCTCTTGAAAATTCAAATTTCATTTTTTTTATTTTTTTTGGATATTCAACAAATTATGGGGAAAATCTTAAAAAGTCTTTTAAAAAAAATTGTTTGTACGAATTTTCTTTCCTTCGACCGATCGATTTCTCCTTCATGTAAGTAATGTTTCCTACGAATTACATATGAACTATAAATGAGAGGAGCAGCAAGTTCTGCACCAAAATGTTAAGCCAAATCATACACAAACAATATCTAAAAAAATTAATATATCTCCATGATTCCAAAAAAAAAAAAAGAAAAAAAAAAGCTAAACAAAATACAAAAATTAGTAGTTTTCTAAAAAAATATTTTTTCCATAATTTATCCAAGTCAAACAATCTCAAAACAATTTTTTTAAAAGAAAATAATAAAAAACTGCAAAAATATAAAAGTAAATTATTAGATTTTTAAAAATATTTTTGTGGGACTCTTGAAGAGGTATATTATTTTGATTTGAATAAATTAAAGAAATTAGTAGTTTTCTAAAAGTTTGTTTAATTTATTGAAGTCAAAATAATATCTTCATCATATTAAAATATTTATTTGTTTTAAAGAAGAACTACAATAAACAAAAAAAAATCTTAGATTTTTGAAAAAAAATTGTGGGAGTCTTGAAAAGGTATATTATTTTGGTTTGAATAAATTATGGCGGAAAATGTAATATAGGTGAAATTTTTATTTCACTTAATAAAAAAAAAGATACATAATAAGTATTTTAAATAAATAAAGAGAGAGGATTGCTAGTTTTATGGGTATAAAAGCCAATAGCTGAATGAGAGTAAATTTTAGATTAATTAAAAAAAGAGAGTAAAAGTGTATTTTTAGATTAAAAAAAAGGGATGACGGATATTTTTAAATAAAATCTTTCCATAATTCAAAGTATAATTTTAACTGTTTTTTGTTTTTTTTTATATTTGGATTATCACTATCTACTCGTATTTTACTACACGTATATAATGTAAATTAAGATGGAATGATTCTTTGAAATGGAGAATTAAATAAATAATTAAAGATATCAAATGAACAGATTATTGATCCGTCATATTCAAATTTACTTAAACTTCAATGAGCTAAATAATTCAACTCACTCAATTCTTATTAACTGTTAATTATTTTATAATATTCTATAAATTAAATAAATTGAGTTTAATTTTGTCGCCCCGTTAGGTACATTTAGTTACTATTTATTGGGTTGTTTGGACTTTGGAGCCAATTGGGGAATATGCTTTATTTTCCAATTTACTTGTTCGTTGGCCATATATATTATACCAAAGTTCTTGTGGACCAATTGCTCTACACGTCAACATAGTTTTCATTTATTTTTATTACTTTTTAAAAAAATAATTTATGTAATTTTTTTTATTTTTCGGGAATTAAATGTTTGAATTTGACTAAAATTAAGAATGAAATTTTCAAGTTTTTTAAAATAAAATTTATATATTTATAAATCACATAAAAGAATATTATAAATTATAAAAATTAATAATTTAAAATATATAAAAATAATTATAATAAAAAGTAAAATTATTTAAATGTCAAAATCCTTAAATAACAAGTACACTTATTATAACCGTCATTCTTATCTGTTTTTGTCATTTGTGTTCACTAGCTACATGTCTCCATCTCTTTTTGTGCTGCTTTTCTATCTTGATTATGACCTATTATTTCATTACGAGACGATATAATAAAATTATTTTATAAAAATATAATTAAATTTATTTAATATTAAATAAATTAATAATATATTAATTTATTGACTAATTTATTTGTTTCATTCAAATTTAATACGGTCCATTTCTTTAATATTTATATGGGAAGAGTGTGTTTCTCTTTTTAACTTTTTAGTATGACGAAAAGTACTAAATATTAAACAAAAGGCTTGCATATTTTAAATTTTTAAATTTTTTTTATAATTGTTAAAAATTATTTTTATCGTCGTTAAGCTATACCCTATATTGATAGAGTTAAAAAGATTATGTATTTTTCTTCTTTTTTTTTTCCTTTTCCCTTGAAGTTGATTATTAGGAAACTTCCATTTTATTATTTTTATTTATTTGGTGATTGTGAATAGTTCATAATTTTTTTTTTGTTTTGATAAATGTGAACGGTATCTACGTGATCATTTTATATGGAACATATCTTATTGATTTTAGGATTTAATTAAATTTTTTAAATATTAGAAATGTCAAAAATCTAACATATTCCATCTTTTTCTAAAAATTCTTCGTCATGCACTGAAATACATACTACTTGCACTAAGGAAATTCAACAATAAATATACGATCAATAGCAAAATAATGTTATAAAGAACATATACATAATATAATAATGAAAATTTGATTTTAAAAAAATTATAATTTTTTTATAATGTAAAAGCCGATTATTAAAAAACATAGAAAGACATAATAAACGATATCTTTATATATGCATCGTGGAAATTACAAAGGTGATATTCCCCTAAGTCTTAACCATGTTTATGTCAACATTATATACATAAAATTCTAATATATAAATAGCGTAATTTTCTTTGAAAGAAATTTAAATAAATTGAGGCTAGGGAGGGCTCAACGATAAGTCTCCATTCAAATTATGTTAGGAGATTTTTAATTTTTGCCAGATCTAAAAAAAATACTACAAGTCATCCGCTCTATTAGTCAGGCGACTATTTCACTTTCAAAGAGTTAAAGGCACAAGGAAGAAAGTAAGAATCCAAACATTAAAAAAGGAAGTACATTAAGATAAAATCTAAGAAGAAAAAACGTCAATCTAAAATTTGTGAACTAAAATAATCTTATTTAATGATATATATTATTCCATTAAAGGGTAAAAGAAAGAATTGCAAAGTTAAATTATTTTTTTATTATATGAATGTAACATTCCATTGTAATAGATTAAAAAGACAAATGTATCACATAAATTTAGACATAAGTCGCTTAATTTGATTTTGCGAAAAAATAAGAAGAAATTGACTTTTTTATTAAAAAAATAATTAAAAAAGATGATAATAATCTCCTCATGAGTTGCTTCTCCTAACCATGGCTTGATGACTTCACCCATAGATGCAGCCACCATAACCTGCCATTGTCAAAAATTGAGTTATTAACATATTTATAATAAGTAATAGTTTCAGTTGAATCCGTAAAATCCGTTCTAGTTAAATTGTATTTACTTACATCGATCAATTATCAAGTGAATTTACGAAAAGTAATAGTCCTAGTTCAAGACGAAAATAACAGTTAAATTTACAAAACTCGTTCTAATTAAATCGATTTCCAAGCAAAACAAGGACTTACTTGGATCAGTCATGACAACAAGGGCAGAATTATTAAAGTAACAATCCCAAGGATGTCTTCCAGTAAATTGATAGTACAAATTCATGGAAATAGAAGCATGATTCATCAAATTATTTGGTGAAAAACAAGGACCACCCTCTTTAATTATATTGCAATTCACATATTTGCATGCATAAATCAAGTTTTGCTCAAGTGCCATATCATCTGATGAAGGTTTAGCCACACACCAAGTCTTCTGCAAAACCAAAATTAGTCTTAATTACAATCTAATTAACTACCAATTCAACTCTTTAATAATTAACTTACCTGTCCATCTGCTAACGTCAGACTCCTTACTGAAACAACATCATTTAAACATTTAATTAGTTTCATCCAAACACGATTCAACGTAATTAGTGTCCTAAAGTCAAACTATATTAAGAGGCCTCAATTAATTACATAATGATAAGTAATATATAACAATACGCCCCTGAATCAAACTAAGAATATCGCACTGAACATCACTATAAGAAAACTGTGAATTACATATGGAATTAGTATAAACATTTGCAGAAAACTTATTTTCGTGCAAATTTTCATATACTAATTTCTACGAAAATTCTTATTTAATTCACAATTTCCTTATCGTGCATGGTTGAACAAAAATATTAATTGTAATACTATAACAAAAATGACCTTTTAATGATACGAAAAAATTGTAACGCACCTGAGAAGTTGGACAAGAGAAGAAACAAAAGTGTGAGAATTGGTTTAGCCATAAGTGATTAGAAGAGGAAAGAGAGGTGTAAAGTGATTGTTAATGGAATGTTGTTTGGCAATTTATTTAAAGAGAAAAAAGGTAGATAAAACTCGAAATATTTAAGTTGAGACGTTACTTTGAATCTTTTTGAGTTAAAAGATAATATAAAAAAGAAATTCAATATGCAATATGATTATTGGTAAAAACTTACTCATATAGGATTAATATTCATTTTAAAGATAACCAGTTAATCATATTTCTAAAAAACGTATGTTGTATATTTATTAATTTAATATAAACATCTAATAAATGACGTAAATATATTTCATGTTATATCAACGGTCACAACATTATGTTATTTTGTTTTCCACAAGCAAAGGAAACATTTCAATGGAGCACATAAGATGTTGTGGACGAAGCTAGCCTAGGTGTGCAAAAGGGGTTATTTGAATTTTTATCATATTAAAGTTTTTCATTAAAAGATTATATTTTATGTGATAATTTTTTTTTTGTGCGCGTATATATGTTGTGGAATTCCGTTTATGTAAGAGGTAGGTTCTAAAATAGCAAAAAATTGAAAATTTAACGTGTGATATTGCTATATAGTTTTTAATCCGCATGCTATTAGTATCTATAATCATTTTATCGATTATATTAATCTTTTACATTTCCTTGTTATTAAAATTCTCTTCTTCTTTTTTCGATTCTCTTAAAAGTGTCCATGAAAAAGTTTTAAGATCTACTTAAAATCTTTTGTCAATAACTTTATTCTCTACTTCATCTTTTAATTATTAAAATTAAGTATGAATATTTAAAAATTATAGAACAACTCTATTTAATCCTTTGCTTATAAATTAAATAGAATAATTTACCAAGTGAAAAGAGTAGATTCAATCTAAATACCTTTAGCTCAAATTATGTATTTGTACTAAAAAAAGATATGCTAACAGTATATATATTATCACATTTCAAATCTAGAAATTCAGATAGTCATGAATTTAATGATATTTCAAGCCTATAAAAAATTTAAAATTTAAATCTTAAATCCATTTGATCGAATCTTCCACTAGTGTTCCTAAAGTAGTAATGGTGGATGACCATCTGCACCATGTGAGTTAAAATCAACGAGCTTAAAAGTTAAACAAAGCAAGTAAAGAAGATCATGTGCTTTGATCTAGACTACAAAGAATTGAAAATTAAATTCTCCACCGGCAAATCTAAATAAAATTGCTTCTTTTTTTTTTTACTTTCTATACTTTTTTACGTTTCGGACTTATATTTTAAATTTTAAAATGTATATCCTATGAATTTAGGCCTTTTATTTGTGCATTAGAATACTTTTTTGGTACATTCTAAACATCTTCAAAAACACTTTAAAAACACTAATTTTTAATTGTTTCTTCATATGTCTCCATCTCTTTTTTGCTGCTTTTCAATCTTGATTATGACCTACTAGTTCATGGTAAAATTATTCTATAAAAATATAAATAGATTAATTTATTTAATATTAGATGAATTAATAACATATTAATTTATTAACTAGCTTATTTTGATTCATTCGAATTTAGTATAGTTCGTCCCTTTAATATTCATTGTTTCTCTTATTTAAACTTTTAGTATAATGGGAAGTACTATATATTAAACAAAAAGGTTACGTATTTTTTAATTTTTTGACATTTTTTATTATTATTAAAAACTGTTTTCAATGTAATAGTAAGCTATACCCTATATGATAGAGATTTTTCTTCATTTTTTTCCAATTCCCTTTTAAGTTGATTATTAAGAAACTTCCATTTTATTATTTTTATTTTGTTTGGTGATCGTGAATAGTTCATAATTTTTTTGTTTTGATAAATGTGAACGGTATTTATGTGATGATTTTATATGGAACATATCTTACTAGGTCGGTCGTAGGATTAAATTAAAACTTAAAAAACTATATTAGAAATGTCACAAATCCTAAATATTATTTTTATAAAAAAAAAAATCTTTGTCGCGTACTGAAATACTTACTATTTGCATTAAGGAAATTCAATAATAAATATACAGTCAATAACAAAATATAACAATAAAAAAAATTGATGTCAAAGAAAACATAAATATTTAATTATAAATCAGAAGACGATTATTACAAAAATTAGAAAGACATAACAAACGATATGTTTACATATGCATTTGATATTCACCTAAGTCTAACCATGTTTAGGTCAACATAGAATTCTAATATATAAAATAGTGTAATTTTTCTCCGAAAGAAATCTAAATAAATTAAGGCTATAATGGACTCAACGATATATCTTCATTCAAACTATATTAGGAGATCATTCATTTTTATTAAACCTAGAGAGATATTACAAGTGTTCCGCACTATTACTCAACCAACTATTTCACTGTCAAAGAGTTTAAGGCTCAAGGAAGAAAGTAAGAATGCAAACATTAAAAAAGGAACTACATTGATATAACATTTCTTCTTCTAAAATTTGTGATTTAAAATAAATTTTAGTTATTTATTTGAATATATATATATAATTTCATTAAAGGGTAAAATAAAAAAATTGTAAAGTTAAATTTATTTTTATTATATAAATATAACATTCCTTTTATAATAGATTAAAAGGAAAAATGTATCACATAAATTTAGCCATAGAGTCGCTAAACTTAATTCTGTTATAAGAAGAAATTGATTTTTTTTTTAAAAAGTAAAAAAAATAATAATAATCTCTTCATGAGTTGCTTCTCCCAACCATGACTTGATGACTTCACTCGTAGATGCAGCTACCATAACCTGTCATTGTCAAAAATTGAGTTACAGTTGAACCCACAAAACTCGTTCTGATACATATAGGACTATTATCAAAGTGAATTCATAAAAAGTAGTAATCGTTCGTAACAGTGACAATTCAAGTCGAATTCATAAAACCCGTTCTAATTAAATCGATTTCCGAGCAAAAAAAGGACTTACTTGGATCAGTCAAGACAACAAGGCCAGAATTACCAAAGCTATAATCCCAAAACTGGGATCCTTTAGATTGATAGTACAAATTCATGGCAATAGAAGCATGATTCATTGAATTATTTGGTAAAAAACAAGGACCACCTTCGTTAAATATATTGCAATTAACAATAGGACATGCAAAATTCAAGTTCTGTTCAAGTGCATTCTCATCTGATGAAGGTTTAGCCACACACCAAGTCTTCTGCAAAACCAAAATTACTCTTAATTACAATCTAATTAACTACCAATTCAACTCTTTAAATAATTAACTTACCTGATCATCCCCTAACGTCAGACTCCCTGCTTAAAAACAACATGATTTAAACATTTCATTAGTGTAATTACTGTCTTAAAGTCAAATTATAATAAGAGGCCTCGAATACGACTACATTGAATATAGTCAAACAAAAACATTAATAGTAACAACACAAGGAAAAATACGAAAAATTGTGAACTAACCTGAGAAGTAGGACAAGAGAAGGAACAAAAGTGTGAGAATTAGTTTAGCCATAAGTGATTAGCAGAGGAAACAGAGATGTTAAGTGATCGTTGATAGAATATATGTTGTTTGGGCATTTATAAGGAGGAAAAAAGGTAGGTAAAAGTGAAAACTTTTTAAAGTGAGACGTTACAACTTATGTTTGAATTTTTTGGAGTTAAAAGACTAACATAAAAACACAATATGATTATCGGTATAACAATTAACCATATCTCTGAAGAACAGGTGAGAGAATTTTATAATACGAGGGCTAGTGACTGATTAAGTCATTAAACTTAATCTGTTAGTCATTTTGATCAACATAACTGTAAGTGAACTGTGTTTATGAGATCAAACCATGTGTAATATATTTATCAATTTGATATAAACATACTCACATATATTTCATATTTCATGTTATATTTGTTAAAGAATGACAAAAGTCCCACATCGGTAATTAATGAGATGAGTGGACTCTTTATAAGGCATGGACAATCCTCCTTCCTTTGAACTAGCTTTTGGGGTGTGAGTTAGGCCTAAGACCTAATTTCACATGGTGTCAGTCCACATCAGTGCTTGGGCAATCCTCCTTCCTTTGAGCTAGCTTTTGGGGCGTGAGTTAGGTCTTACCCGATGTTGCACTGGGCGTGAGGTGGGGTGTTAAAGAATGACAAAAGTCCCACATCGGTGATTAATGAGATGAGTGGACTCTTTATAAGGCATGGGCAATCCTCCTCCCTTTGAGCTAGCTTTTGAGGTGTGAGTTAGACCTAACACCTAATTTCACAATATTAACAGTCACAGCCTTGGTCTTGACTCATGTCATTTAACTACTTCTACAATATTTTTCTATATGCACTTTGGTAAATTTTGTTTTTCACAAGCAAAGCAAACATTTTTATGGAGTACATAAGGTGCTAGGACGAAGCTAGTGGGGGAAAAGGGGTTTAATTGAATTTTTATCATATTTAAGTTTTTTTTTTGTCAAAAAATTATACTCTAATTATATTTCATGTACGTGATATATATGTTGTTGATTTCCGTTTATAAAATAGCAAAAATTAAAAATTTAAGGTGTAATATTGTTATATAATTTTTGAACTCCGCATGCTATTAGTATCTTCAATCATTTCATCGATTATATTAATCTTTTACATCTTTTCGTGATTGAAATCCTCTTCTTTTTATTTTTTTAAATTTCTCTTAAAGTGTTCATGAAAAATTTTGAGATCTACGTAAATTCAGTTGTCAATAGCTTTAGAGCCTGTTTGGCTCAGCTTAAAAGCTGGTCAAACTGACTTAAAAGCTGGTTTTTGACTTATTTAGCTGTTTGACAATACTCAAAACAGCTTATTTTAAGCTAAAAAAAACTTATTTTAAGCCAAAAGTTAAAAGCTGGGGTAGGGGTGCTTTTTTTTTTAGCTTATAAGCTGTTTTAAGTTGACCACATTTTTATCTTTTTGTGCTTACTATTTTTGTACAATCTCCAAATTATCCATATAACCCTAACATTTCTTTCTTCCATTTTTTCCTTTTCACGTTTGACATAACAACTTCAACACTTTTATCCAAACGCATAACTGCTTATTTTAAAAATAAGTTTCAGCACTTTTAAAAGTACTTTTTTAAAGCTGCTTTTATTAAGCCCATCCAAACGGGCCCTTATTCTCTGCATCTTTTAATTAAAGTTAAGTATGAATATTTATAAATTATAGAACAACTTGTTTAACCCTTTGCTTATAAATTATATCAAATAATTTACCAAGTAAAATGGGTAGATTCGATCGAAATATTCTTTAGCTCAAATTATGTATTTGTGCTAAAAAAAAGATCTGCTAATAGTATATATATTATTACATTTCAAATCTAAAAACTCAAATGGTCATGAGTTTAATAACATTTTGAATTTATAAAAAATTTAGAATTTAAATCTTAAATCCATGAATAAATTTTCCACCTTTTTAAAGTAGTAATGGTATATGCACCAAGTGAGTTAAAATCAAGGACTTAAAAGTTAAAAAGGAAAATAAAGCAAGTAAAAAAGATAAATTGCTTTGATCGTATCCTTTCTATACTTTTTTATATTCGAAATTTGCGTCTCAATTTCTAAAATATATTTCCTATGAACCTATGCCTTTTATTTGTGTATTAGAATGTTTTTTTGGTACATTCCACACGTCTTCAAAAACGACTTTTAAAACACTAATCTTTAATAGTAATAAAAGAAAATAATATTTACTAATGTAGATGTTGTTTTTCCACACTCCATATATTTGTTCTTGGATATATGGGTACATTTTTCTGAAAAATGACTTATTCCATATCTAATACACAAAAATGATAAACTTAATTTTATATCACAAATCACAATACATGCCTAATTTGTAATTCTTTTTATTCTCCTTTTTCTGTTTCATAAAGCATATTACTCATAGTCCACACACAAATATTAAAATTTATTTTACGCAACAAATTTAAAAATACAACTTTTTAAAAATTATTGTCATACCATGTAAATCGAAACGAAAGGATTAGTATTTATGAGGAAAGGTTAAAAAAAAAAAACTCCTTATCATGAATCAGCTTGATTGGATTTTTCAAAGAAACTGATTAACTCCATTGATTAAGGCTGTTTAGGTCAATACTGTGTTCTTAAGTGATTGAGTTCAGATTGAACAAATAATTCAATAAGCTAGATTTATTGTTTGTGGGCCATTAATTTGGAGCAATTTGTATAAACAAAATATTCTGCATAAACACAAATAACAATTAGTACTATACAAAAAAATACATTTTTTTTCAAGAAATGGCAGCAGCTGGAGCCATTTCAGTATGGATTTCAACATCCACACCCACAAAGATCACTGCTTTTAACTCCATACCCAGAATTTGTTATCCTCTTAAACTTTCAAGAAATGGTATTTATCCCTTATCTACATTTGAGAGAAATGGCCAATACGAACAAAATCTCACAATCAAAGCTGCTGCCTCCTCTTCTGGTAATAATTCAACTGATTCTTGTAACAAGTTTAAGTCTTTATGTCTAACTTACTATTAGTAGATTTTAAGCTGAATTTTACATCTTTTGTGCAAAAGTGGAAGGAAACCCTTTAAACTGAATACTTACTAAATTTCAGATTGTGGGTATTCTTGGTTTCTTGAATTTTTACTAAATGTTTATACAAATCTGATGTTTGCCATAATTTAGTGAGAAAACCCTGTGTGGAGTATCTACTGTCAATAAAGGTTTTAGCTTTATAATGGTATCTATTGTTAAATCGACTTTAGGCCTAAATCAACACCAAAAGCTAGCTCATGAGGAGAGGATTGACCATGTCATATAAAGAGACCACCCATTCCATTAACCTCTGACGTGGAACTTCTTGACATCCCTTGGGTGGACATCTAGACCGTGAACGATTTAATATGGGGTTCCATTGTCATGAAATAAGAATTTAATTGGGTCCTGCTCTGATATGAAATGGACTTAGGCCTAGATCCACGAGACGTAATTTGCAGTTATTATATTCAAGTCTAAGAAATGTTCACTGAATCAAAGATGGTATGTAAGGAAAAGATTTGATCTTGGCATAAATATATTTGAGATGCTGGTCTGTTTAGAGTCCTTCACAGGACCAGTGCATAACGGGAGCTTAGTGCACCGAGCTGCCTTTTGTTTTTAGAGTTCTCACCATTTTTTTCTATTGTAATGGCCATCTTTTTTTGTTGAAACTGCCTTTAGCATCTCTTTTATCTGGTTTACTAACCAATAAAAAGAAAAGTTAGTATGGAAGAAAAGATTTGATCTTGGCACAAATGTAGCCAAATTGCTGGTTTATTTAGAATTCTTCGCCTACACAATTTTGTTTTGTAATGACGATCTGTTTTGGTTGCAACTGACCTCCAGCATTCTCATTTTGCTGGTTTACTAATGAAAATTGTTGATTACCGATATAAAATTAAAGATGGTATGGAAGAAAGATTTGATCTTGGCACAAATGCAGTTGAATTGCTGGTTTGTTGAGAGTTCTTCGCCTACTTGAATTATTTGAAGACTTTAGATTCGTTCTGATTAGATGTTAGGAAGGACCCTCAAGCTATGAGAGTAGAATTAAACAAAGTCAGAATTCTGGAGTGGCAAAAAACCATCAAATAGGTAGCTTAAATAGTCTTTTAATCCACATTTAACACGTAAATACTGCGTCATCATATAGTTTAATGTTTCAGTTCAGAAAGACAGGATTCAACTAGCAAAATACTCTTTGACTTGATCTTGCTATTTTTAATCCTTAGTGCTCACTTCTTACATAAAGCAAGTGGATTCATGTTTCTACACTATGGCTTCATGAAATAAGGAAGACACTTGATCATATCTTTATTTTTGTCTGTGAGAGCTGACGACTTGGCATTTTTCGTGGATTCAGTTGGAAGTGCAGAATACACAGAAGAACCAGCTACTAAGGTGAAATTTCAAAGATCATTGAGCTTACCTGGTTGCTCTACTTCCTTGTCATTGCTTGGAACTGGTTAGCTTCAAATCAATCAATAATCTTTCCCAATAATTTAAGAACAAATTTCAATTATTAGTTTATCTGCCTCAAGTTCTTTCAGATGGTTATGTTCTATGCTTATTTTTGCTGCTCTTCCAACAAAATTTTAGGATACAGGGAAAAGATTTTTGCAATTATTGGTGTCAAGGTCTATGCTGCAGGCCTCTATGTCAATGACTCCGTCTTTAGTAGCTTAGATGCCTGGCGAGGACGTTCTGCTGCAGATATTCAACAGGATCCTTCCTTGTTCAACAAGATCTTTGAAGGTGAGTCGGCAATGCTTAATTGTTTGACTGGTGAGATGGGGAGGAGATCATATCATCTAAGTGATGCTAAAAATGATTCTATGAATTGCAGCGGATTTGGAGAAATCTTTACTTATTGTGCTGGTCAGAGATGTTGATGGTAAAACTTTCTGGGATGCCTTAGATGAAGCCATCTCTCCGAGAATCAAATCCCCTACTGCCGATGATAAGTCTGCTCTTTCTACATTCCGCGGTGTCTTTCAAGGGAAACCTCTTAAGAAAGAAACTTCCATATTCTTGACTTGGATTGACCCAAATAAAATGCTTGTAAGTATGCAGTTTATTTACATTATTCTCTTAAAGCCTAGATTATATCAACTTCAGGCATCAAATGTGGCTTTTGTTTTCTTCTTAGCTTTCTTAGTTCTAATTTGTTGCTCTTTTTTATGGAAATCTTAAAGGTTTCACTCTCTTTTGATGGAATGCCTTCCTCGGTTGACGCAACTATTGAGTCACCAAATGTTGCATCAGCTCTCTTCGATGTATTTCTTGGAGGTGATCCAGTTTCTCCTACACTTAAAGCATCAGTTGCCAAAGGATTGGAAGCTACGCTCAAGTGAAGTACGTAATGAGTTAGTCTTCCGTTTTGTTAGCATAGCTCCATTGGAACAAATTGCTCAAAGTTTTGTTACTTTCCATGTATTCAGACCAAGGGCAAGCATTATGCAAAATGAGTATAAAAAAAATAAAGTTATATTATTTGAGAGAAAAAAGCATTGGAACAGAACACCAAGAATCTCATGCCAAAGCATTTATCTTTATTTGCTCAAGCATTATAACGACTTCAGCCATAGTCGGTCTATTACATGGATCTGCCTCAAGGCAAACTAATGCAATGTTAAATACATGGTTAACTTCATCTATGGGAAACTCTTGTAAGTTTTTGTCAAGTACATACTCTTCTCTTTTCTCTTGAACAACTGTCTTCACCTGTAAAGCAGAACAGTATCAACTGACCGAATTAATGACAGCTCGAAAGCAGCTAGGATAAAAAAGAAAAAAGGTGAACTACAAGCTTACCCAAGTTACAAGTCTGGTTCCTTCCTCCAAAAATGCTTCATCTGATGGCTTTTTCCCAGTTAGAAGTTCCAGTAAGACAACTCCAAAGCTGTAAACATCTCCTTTGACTGTTGCTTTTCCGGTGTCAAAATATTCTGCAAAAGACCATAATGTAATTGATAGTTTTCCAAACACAGATTCGAGTCTTCTGATGGTCTAATAAAAACATACCAGGAGCCAAATATCCAAAAGTTCCAGCTACCAAAGTTGAAACGTGCGTCTTATCTGGCTCCATCAGAGTGGCTAGTCCAAAATCAGATACTCGAGCCTCCATGTTATGACCCAACAAGATATTGCTTGACTTTATATCTCTGTGGATGATGTGAGGGATGCAATCGTGATGTAGATATGATAATCCTCTTGCTGCTCCTACTGCTATTTTGTATCTTGTAGGCCAATCCAAAACCTTCCTGGCAGCCGATTTTCCTGCATTATGATGTTACCATTCTTAAAGTTCATCTGTATATCAAACACTTGATAGGTCTTTATTGTGCATCTCTGATTCTAGCATCAGCAGAAGCTGAAATAAGCTTAAAAGAATGACCATCCTTAGAGCTATGTTGCTTGGACTCCAAAAAGTACCTCTGTAGGCAAGTCAGGTCCTCCAAAAGTACAGCATTTATGGAGGGTCGGAACATTTTTGAGAGTTCGAGCAACATAGACTTAGACAATAAGAAACAGACATAAACATATACCATGAAGTGCTTCATCTAAACTTCCATTAGTCATAAGCTCATATATCAGAAGATTATACTGCGTTGTACTGTAGTATCCATGAAGTGTCACTATATTTCGATGCTTTATGTCCCCCATTGCCTCCAACTCTCTTTCAAAACCTCTGTCTTGTTCTGCACTTATTCTGTTTAACCTCTTTACCGCGAAAGAAATTGATTCGTTAATTGTCAGTTTATAGACTGTTCCATAGCCTCCTGATCCTATAATATCTTTGTTAGTCAGCTTCATGGTCCTCTTCAAGAACATGTTGGACTTCAACGTGTTCATTTTCGGTGACTTAAACATCACTAGTTTTCCACCTGGATATGGACATAACAAAAACATAAGATATTCTTGATCCAACCTATCGAATTCTGAATACTGAACATCATATCATACCAGATAAGCTGTCTTGAACAACCATTTGCTTTCTCTTCCATCTACGGTAACAGACGATTGTCATAATAATCTTCGAGATGATAAAAGAAATCACACATATTGTTACATAGAGAGCAATATTTTTAGAATTTCCCATTTAGTTCTGCAAGTAGTTAGACCAAGTTAGAAACCAACACACTGTTCATTTGAGCAGAAATATAGAGTAAAAAAAACAGGTACCTGAATACTCAATAACTTTAGACTTTTGGCCTCTCAGCTTTAACTGTGAATTACATAAAATGTTGTTAATCAGGTGTACCAGAAGAAAAACACAAAGGAACAACAGATTGTTAGTGAATAGGAGCTGTTTAAACTTCCTGCAGGTTTTAACTATTCCTGGACTAAATTTTTTTTTTTTTACTTTGAGCAACGCCTTTTCACTTGGCGTTTTTGGATATCACTAAGGCTGATTTTCGTCCCTACAATCAATCTTCCTTCTGTTTTTTCACTCGAGGGTCAATCTTAACACACAACCTAAAGATCCTACATTCCACTTGCAGAAAATACAACCACAACTTAACTTACACGAGATTCAACAACCAAAGCTACTGATATTCCCAACAGAACAATATCTTCCTATAACAGTCCACAGTAATGAACAAGCAAGTCATTAGTCCAAAAAAAGAACCATCTTCTAAGAAAAAAAATAACTATCTAGGCCTTCAGAAAAAAGACAATAATATCGTTCACACGACTTCAAAATTTATTTAGCGTTTGACCATAGATTTTGAGAGTAGTTTTAGAAAAATCATTTTCAAATATCTTTTTTGGCCGTGAAATGTTCAAATTTTTTTTTTCACAAACACCACTTCAACAACTCAAATTTTAAACTTCAAAATCTATGATCAAACGGAGAGCGACTAGAATCAAGAAGAGTAGTTCAAACACACACAAAGCTTTTAAGAAGTTAGAATAAGACTTCACCTTGAAACTTTATTGCAGAAAGTGCTCATTTTCTTGAAGCAGACATCAAGAAGGTACCCCAGCAAATATTTTTTTTAAAAAAACCAAAGAAAAAATCATGCATAAATCATTCAATGAAGTTACTAAAAGACATAAAATTTTAGGAGCATCTAATATAATAGTGGGTCCAAAGTTAGCTCACCTGTCTCATTATCAGTATGAACAAGTCTCATGTGAACATGATTTATTTATTTTTGCCTTTTTTCCCTTACTGATAAGGCTGTTTTTAAATTTTCAATCATTGATATACATGTTTCACAAAATAAAAATACTACAGTAGTACTTTACTATTCATGGAAAGTCACAAAGACCTGTCAATTTTTCATGTATGCATATATGTGCTTTTTTGTTGTCCCCTCTATGAGTTAGGTTGCCAACATACTTATAATTAAATAAAAAAATATACGTAAACGTAATATTGAAACTTATACATACCCAACTTTTGTTGAAAATGTTGACCTTTTACACTTTGAAGATGAATTAACCTGCGAGCAAAAGCAAATATATACTAGTTAATTACTTAATATAGCTATCATATAGTTTGTATAATTTGAAATTTGTATAACTATTTTGCACTTTTGATGTTTGTAATTCTATAAATTTGTTATTTCAAGTTTATATAAAAATAACTAAATTGTACTAATGTACCCGCAAATTATACAAGACTGTCAGATTAAATTATAGCTACAGCTCATAAATATGCAAACTATAGTTATAAAGCATAATTAAGTTTATTATAGTGACTATTTGAGAAAGTTACTCTATATTTTTAGAAAAAATATAAATAAAATAATAGATCCGTCTCTCTACCCTTCTTCGCGTGAAATTTTCATCGATCAAGAGTAAAGTTCTTATGAGAAAATGTAACTATAGTGTAAAATTTTGTAAGTTAGATGAGATTTTAATGTTTGGTCTTGTAACATTGAGCAATATATGAACAAACATAGGGCTATATTTGTAGAACTATTAAAAACAAAAACTAAATGATGGCCTTTTAACATTTGCATAATCAACTCTTCTACGCTTACATATCAGACTATTTAATACTCTTATTATTGTTTAAAATTGACATATTATTTGCTGTCTCATTAATATGGCAGCAGCTGTCGTTTTACAATTATGTGGATGTTGGGAATATTATCAACATTACAAAGATTTGAAAATGTTTGTTTACACGCTATTAATACTCTTTTTTAAACTGCCTCATGAATCTTGTGAAAAACAAGCAACTTTTTTTAAAAAAGAAAAGAAAAAAGCACATCTTTTTTACTTTGGGGTGTGTTTAACTGTTAAATTAGGTAGGTAGTTGAATTTAATATTTTTGTAGTTGAGGGTTGTTCACACGAACAAAGCAATGCCACTATTTGAAGTTATTTTTACGACTACACTCGATATGTTGTTGCAATTCATAGAATGCGCTCCGATTTTCAATATCCATTCAAGCACAAGTTTACAAAAATCTATTACAATGTTTACGATCACAAATTGCTCAGACATTCATATATACAAAGGATAAAACAACATCCCCCCCTCTTAGTTTCTCTTTCTCCTTTGAACACTTCCTTCTTGTCATTTCTCTGATATGGCTATACAAGTATAAATCTTGAGTGACCTACAAGCTTCTCACAATCCTGCGGTTTGAAGGTTTCTAACAATTACTTAAAGAGTAAGCTGGATGAATGGATGATCAAAAGAGTTAGAAATCTTGCCTTCCGAGTCGCCTGAGCTCAGGCTGTTCAAGCAGCATGTCTTGAATTGGCCTTATCGTCGTTCCCTTGACCCCAGAACTACAGTGGACAATAGAAAAAGGACCCTCTTAGTGATGCTGAGATCAACTCTGTATGTCTCACATGTTCCCAAACTTTCTTCCACGGGGAAAATCTTACAATGCAATGGAAATAGGTGAAAGGTTAAGAAAGAGAACAAGAAGAAATAGTACATTTACCTGTAAATGGACTCGAGGGATATAAGCCTGTGGTGAATGGTGTAGTCACTTCCAACATAAGTGACGACCAAGTTACCAGCGTCAGGGTGGGGCCAGCTCCTTGATGTAGGAAATCGCAGTATATAAGTACCTGGTTCTTGAAGAGCTCCCAGAATTGTAAGTGAAGATTCTGCTTCTTCCTTGGTAATGAACCCTTCGATCCACACGGGTGATGTTGAACCCCACAATGAAGAAATACATTGCTGTGACAATGTAAAAGCTACTGGGTACAGCCAACACCACAACTTTTCAAAGTTGTCTTGAGACACTAGATCTTGACAACCAGAGACTCTCCTCAGGAGGTTGAAATCCTGCAAGTTGGACGAATTCATCAGCAAGAGAAGCAAATAATTTTCAGAGTTGTAATATTGTCAAAACAGTTTTGGAATTGTCAAAAGGCCAGCTTTCATACAACTCAACTATTCCACCGGATACTTGCTACCTCCCACCAACACAAGTAAGGTGATTCTGCCCCACGCCCCCACCTAACCTAGTGTTTTTTTGTTTCTATTTTTTTTTTTTTTGCTTTTTTTTTACGATACATCATCATCAGAAGAAGAAGAATCTGATTCAGTGAATTTTTTGTTTCTATTGGAATTTTGAATCCTGGTCTCCATGGTTTGCACCCACTATGCATTGGCCATACCCTTAATATGCAATATTGGCCCTTCACGCTGCCCAAAATTATCACATCCCAACGAAAAATGACATCAAAATAGAAAAATGAGAATTTCACAAATTCTCCAAGACAGATAATTAATCCCTCCGGCAAAAAGGGATGTTTCTCTTTCCCTTTCACTTTCCCTTTTACTTAATCTAGTCTTCTGCAGAAAAAATCCACCAAACCTTCCCAAACACAATTGACATTTCAAGTTAAAAAAAGGAATATAGTTCCGAATTTGGTGAGTAAGTGGATTTGGAACCTCAGAGAACACACTAACTTCTAAATAGCCCTTTTTGAAGTATTCTTTCAGACTTCCTACCAGTTTAAAGAGAAAAAAGAGAACCTGATGAGTTAGAGATCTGATACGACCAAATGTCATCTTCAGGAAATGCTCTTGAAGCCCAGACACCAAATTCTCCCAGAGGACATGGTGGTTATAGTTGGATATTAAGTTCCAACAGTTAATTCCCTCTTCTATCAGCCTCTTTGAAATTGATATTTGATGCCTAAAAAGGTAATGTGATTCAGACAACAGCATACAAGGTCACCAAATAGTGATGACAACAATAAAATGAAAACTGAAACCAAGACATGTACATTTTGTTTATATCCTATTGAACTGTGTGTCAATTTAACCCTGATCCATAAATTTAAAATCAATGTATTAATTCCAATAGTTCAAATTTTCCCTAGAAGCATATTGCAAGTGCACATGTTTTTATCCCGACCATGATATAAGCAATCCTTTCATCCTAAATTGATAGTTGATCATATTTGTGATGTTAGAGATAATATTTTTGCTTTTCAGAAATAACGTTTACTTATATATTAGTCATTTAAGAACACATGATTCTAAACCTCATGAAGACATGAACTAATGAGGAAAAAACTTGGGAAAACAGCTACGCCTTGTGCTAGTCATTTTTCTCTCGACTTAATTTTCTCAGAAGCAGCACATTTATGACGATCTTTTACTTATTGGATGTCAATATCATTTTGGTATTACCCTTCCAAATATCCTATTTTTTTACGTTTTCATATGTTACTTGTTTTCTTCCAAAGAGTATGCAATTTTAAAAGCTCAGGAGTCAGGGCCACAGGGGACAAATATAAAGGAAAATGACATAAACAATAACACACAAAAAAAACTTCTAATTTTCTGCCATGAGATAAATCGCAAAAGTTTTTTTGCTTGCACATGCATATGCTCTATACATATTTCGTTCTTTCAGAACTTTAATGAAATAACAGCGTAACTCTGAAAGAAGGGAATAAATGCCAAACGTGGCCCTAAGAACTAGATGCTGTTAATATAACCATTCAAAGACACCTCAAAATGCAACAATATAAAAAAATATACCTGTGGTGTGAACATCCAGAGAATAAAGAGACTCTCTCGGCAAAGGTTGCAAGTTCTTCTTCTTTAGCAGTCATTGCCATTTCCTTGAGAAGAAGACGCCTCTCGTTGAGATCAGCGAGACAGTATTTAAAAACAACCATATCCGAAATCGGATCTCTGTTATTTGGCAAGTCATCAACGGGCGAGTTCGTAGTTTCACTGTTCTCTGAATCAGAGGAGAAATTTTCTGCCCCACCATGGCTCACTGGTCTTGCCACCAAAGAGTTCTGATGTGCATGGTTATCCTATTTTCAATGCATGTTTAGTGAGAGTGATGATAACAACAAGGTCGGGTATAAGAAGTTGTCAACAAGAAAAGATTTTAAGGATTAAAAAAGGGTATAGGATACAATGAAAAGAAGAATAATCATGATGATGATCGCGCACCACCAATAAATATTAAAGAGAAATGCAGGTAGTAAAAACATTATTCGAGATCACAGTCCCTTGAGTGATGACATGCATAATAGGAAAAACTTATTGCCAAATAAGAAGTTTTAGAAAACACTCCCGAGAAGACTGAGTGGTATTAAGAGAAGTAAACAGAAGTAGCAGTGTTTCTAGAAGTGAAAGCCTGAAAAAGCAACCAGGTAAATGAGTGAATTGCACGGTTTACGGAAAATATTAAACACCATACATATATGAATTTGACACTGTAATAACCAAATTACAGTTAGAAACTAAGGATAACATCCAATATACAATAATGACAAATTGGCAATGTTAATCTAATTCCTCACAGTTAAGATTCAAAAACCGAACATTTCTCATTTGGATCACTTTGTGCATCATGGTTTGAAGGGCACAGTTCTCTGAAGAGCATGACCTCACCTAAGAACCAATTAACCCCTGCTTTGCATCGCTTCATCACTTAAGAGA